GCAGTTATTGTTGTTTCTGGTCGGCATGATTTGTCCTTTAATGCAAGAGCATTTCCTTTGACCTCTTTTCAAATGCAATGCTTTTCATTGCCGCTAAATAAGGGTTTTAGGTTGTTTAATTTTCTTTAAAGTACCTCATGGATCCGAATAATTATAAGCGACTTATTTTTAGTCCGTGAATGTGACGGTTCCTACGATGTTTTGTCACTTGATAACTACCGCTTGCCTCGCTTTTGCGTTTCTCATCACCAGGTTTAGATTCTTGGTAACTGTCTCCAGCAAAGACCCAACAAATGGATATACATATAAGCGTCAATATAACTATTTGCAACATGTTCATGAACTGTAAGCAAGTTGCTCTTTCAAAATAAACCGAAACCTGTGGACATGGATAAGTTCGGGGGCTTTTTGACGTGTGTTTATTTCAAATCATGTCTTGTTTCGTAAAGGGCACTCCCAGGCCTGGGACACTCCTAAGCAACGAACCAATGTCTTGCTGTTTATCACGTAAAATTAACACTTCAGAGAAAAATCAAAACTAAATATTCTGAAAATTAATTGGACATTTCTAAAAAGATCAGTAAAGTCAATAAAGCTCTTGTTATGTAGAGGGTGCCCGGCTTTGTATTCCTCAGTAGACAAGTTGAGCTTGGGCGTTAAAATAATAGAGTTTTTTCTGCGTAACGTCCTACCTGTCTTAAATTTTCAGCGACGAAAGAGTTCTTTAAAGAAAATTGAAGCAATTGACAATGGAAGAAGTATACGGTTGATACCATATCCTTTTCAGATTTATTCTACTGTTTTTTGGCCTTGTATAAATTGACCTGAGACGAAGCGTCCTCCTTCCCTTTTTCTTTAGAAGGCGCGAGAAAAAGGTTCCTTTTTTATAATCAGTCCTTTTTTGTAATCAGTCCCATAAAATCCATTCCATTCCTCAAGTTTTCACGAGATCATTCGCGGTCAACTTTGGGGATCACTTGCGGTCGAGGATCATTTGCGGTTGGGGATCATATGCGGTACTGTACAGTTCAATCAGTTAAGTATCGTTGAATCTATTTTTAATAAAAAGTGTGTTTTGGTTGCAGGGATCTTCGAGTGGTGGTACAACTTTTCCGATATTGAAAAGGCAGCAGTAATTGGTGGACTTCTGTTGTTCATCATAATACTAATCATTGCCTGTTGCTGTTGTTGCGGCTGGTGCAGGTCCCGTCCAACCAACCAAGGGGCTGTTATCGTCACTCCCGCAGCTGTCCCTACAGCTGTCATGGCAACAAGTACCAGGAGCACCATTCCCATGAAACCGCTGGTCAACGAGGCTTGAGTTTCACTCCAATCTTGGCGTACCCAGAGTCTTCTTTCTTTTTAGTCAGCGGGCAACGCGTTGACCGCTGACAAAAAAAGACAGAAGACTCTGGGTACGAGATTGGTTTCACTATGAATAGACACAGTGGAGCAATGTGCAAAAAACGCGTAGTTTTCGCTAAAATTTTGCTTTTTTATGACAGTTTAAGCCGTTCTGAACATTTTTATGTTTAGTTACTGTTAAGTACAATCCGATAAACAATTGTAGACATCTTGTGCTCGGTTGTCGCCGTGCTTCATATAAACCGGATCAAATTTGATTTTGGGCCCACCCATTTTAATTTAGCACGGCTTAATTGATCCAAGCGAACTAAAGCTTCAAAATGTTGTAGTAATCAAAATTTTTTCAAAATTATGCAGTTAGTTTGGCTAAAATTTGTAGTTCAGTGTCTGTCTTAACACTGGTTCACAGCCGTTTCGAATTGATTCTGCGTCTTGATTCTGCTTCTGTGGAAGAGCGGCGTCTGACTCGAGCCTCTAAATACCTTTGTTGCTAGGTGTTTCCTGCTATTGTTTATATTCTAATACCTAACATTTTATCGATTCATTTGGAGTATTAAATGTTTCTTCGGATTTTTACGTATGTTGACATTGCATTGTTTACTATTGATGGTACGCTATGAGGAAGCCCAGTAGCCAAAAACACAGCTTTCAGTAGTGGTAATTGTTCTTCCATTTTTTTTTACTATTTCCTTTCAGTTTTTCCCCTTTTCTTGCTTCCCTTACCGACTTTAGTATATTTTAGCCCAAAAAATTATTTTTTCCTGCCTCGCGCTTTACCTAATATGGATTTCAACTCTTAAAAGAAACATTTAGAAATGGTAGTCTGATCTAAAGACTTTAATACAGAAGTATAGGGAGTGTAAATTCCAATGCAAAACTGCATTCTGTGAGGCCAGCAGAGACTTTCTAAAATGAGTCCGTTTTTGGATGGGTAATTAGGTCAGCTGGAAAAACTTCTCCCGTCTCATTTCCATCGTCCCTGAAAAAAGTCGTCAGGTGGCAAATATTAGGCTGACACTAAAACTAACCAGGGCTCCAAGATTAGCCTGCGATCATGCCCTCTCCCTTTATCTCTGTAGTCTGTTTTCAAGCGGAGAAGCACAAAAATAACGCCTGATCTCAGGTTACTCCGAGATAAACTATCAAACCCCTTAAAAAAGAGAGTTTGATAGTACATATTGGAGCCCTTGTTAATTTTAATGCCAGCCTAAGATCTTTGCTACCATATACGACTTACTTGAAATACGGACAGCATTATTAGTCTCCTCCGCAGCCGCTTGGAACGGAGTCAGCGAAGCGGGAGACTAGGCACCAAACCATGGAATAAAAGGGTGTCGCCATGCATTTGTATATAGTATGCAGGTAGGAATTGTATGGAGGCTTAGAACTTCGAAACCAAAAAGAAATGTCTACAATAGAATTTAGGGTGTCTAAAGAAGGTTTGGACGGTATGACGGACAAAACCGACTTATCCTTTTGTCAGTTGAATTTTCCAGCTGGTAAAATGGTATCGTATTCAAAATTTAAGGAGTGTCATCTTGATCTTTTATCCTTCAAACGTAATATTGCGGCTTTTCTAGGAAAACTTGAAATAAACGACTTATGGCGTCATTTTTTTTTTAACAATGGTCTGTTGTTTCATCACATGACTAATTTTTTTTTAATGCTGCTGGCTCATTGCCACGGACGTACCGACTGATCAATTTACTGCATACTTAAACTAGCCCCGAAGAATCCATATCATCCACTGCACTGATCTTCAAACAAAAACGTCTCACTTTTAGCTCTCAAACTTAAACAAAGGTTTGTTTTTAGATATCGTGTTTAAAAACATGATATTTATTGATTTGGGATTTTAAGACACTTATAAGTCACTTATAAGTCTATAAATATGCGGTGTGTGTGCTTGTTGAAGTGTAAAGGAAAGGTACAGTCCTTTTCAAGGTTGGTCTTAAAGTGCTCGAATTGTCAAATCATCTGTTGATGCCTCGAAGAGGCGATTTTAAACTCGGATTCAACCGTATGCACAGGTTACAATACCCCCCTTGCAAAATCACGGAGAGGAGGTCGGGATTGGAAATCGTTCTCGTTCTGGGTTAAGTCATATCCAGTTTGAATTAATGATTTAAGGAGCGGACTTTGTAATAAATATAATTGAAAACAATGGACTTAAGAGACGCGAACGTGAAAGCATGAACGCTATTTCTGGTTATTGTCGAAAAATATGTCATGTCGCTTCCGTCCACCAGTCGGTTAGCGTCTGCAGTGTTGTTGGCAGTGGAGTGAACCTAGCAAACTGAACAAACGAAGATAAAGTAACAAAGCTAAGAAATGCCGTGTTACTATAAACTCTTTCGTTAAAATCGCGTGACTTGTGGAAAAAATTCAGAAGATTCGCGTGAATTATTCTTCAACCTTCAAAACATTCCAAACGCCGCCACGGATGAAGGCTCCACCTATTATTCAAGCGTAACTTCTTTCGTGCCTCATCCACCAGTTTTTTCTTTCTTTTTTAGTGTCTTTAACGGATTGTCACTTAGCTTCAAGTTGGAAAGTTTATAAAAGGAATTTTCTGCGCGAAAAATGGCAGTAAAATAATCATGAACTGTTCAACTTTATAGGCCAACTCAAGAACATGGGACGCTATTCACGACATCGTACATCACAGTTAAGTCTATCTATGTCGTTCGAATAAAATGTAGCAATTTTAAAATGAAGCAAAAAGACTGATCTAAACTAAATTGCTTTTTTTCCGGAAAGGCGCATGATTCTGCGTTAATTCGAATATATAGTGTATTGTCTTTGGATATACATATCCGCATTATCGAGTGTTCAATTTACATATATTATACATTTCAATCATGATCAACAACAGAATTCAAGCGCAGAAAATACGTATTGTGTGTGTAACTTGAGGCACCGTAAAAAAAATTATGCCGCTCCATTGTTAGACTTCCTGCAAGCCTCGCAGCTCGTCTTTGTTAATAATCGCACTTCATGTACAGGTTTGTAAACGATTTTCATCTTCTTAGTGCTTAAGACATTTCGACAAAACAGAAGATCAACTTTTGCCTGTAGTATGTCACAATCACTTCTCTTTACGAAATAATGAATTATCTAAGGAGTAGCTAAGCGGTCACATCCTGATCTATTTAAAAAGATCACTACAACTATCAATTCAATCCAAGTCGATAGTCTCTTGTGCAAGTCTTCCATTTTTAGTTTCTTCTTTCACGATTTTAAAATTCTTAAACTCAAGTCAAAAAGAATTTGCTAACAAGTCGGACACTCTATCAGCAGTGAAGACGTCAAGGTATGTTGACGATGGCGTCGCGTCTTGACCTTTCAATTTGATTTCTGCTTTTTCTTCTGAACACACAGCGCTAACGTTGTGTGTTTAAATTAGTACATGTAACCTGCGTTTGAAATGAAATAGATATAAAGTAATAACAAAAATAAAGCAAAAGAGACTGATCTACTCTGATTGGTTATCCTAATAGTCTAGTCCCTAACATCAACACAATGCCTTATATAGAGGAATGCGGAATCCTTTTCAATCATAATCAATTGTTCCTTTCATAGGAAAGAATCACGTTACCTGACTCTGAGAAAGGACCTTCTCTGAGCTTCGTTTCTCTTACGACTTTCTCCAAGAGTCGGAAGGTATGTTTTAGATTTTTATCTACCTTGATCATTTTCAGTCATTCAGAGCTAACTCACAGTCAGCTTTTGTTTGGAGTGTCGCAATCGTTTCTTAGCTGTGTATTCATGCAATCTGCAGCCAGAGAACTGCAAGATGATCTTTTTTCAGTTTTTGGGTTTAGTAATATCCAGTTTCCACTAACTACGTAAGGAGACTTTTTTAGCGCCTTTAATGTACACATTTTAATTAAAATTATAAAGACTTGATAACGGTGAAACACTTCGCTCATAAAAAACATAACAATGGGCCTTTCACGGTGCAAGCGTCTGAACACTGTTTATAGTAAATTTCGAAGATTATGCCAAAATTTTTTCAAAATTATGCAGTTAGTTCGGCTAAAATTTGAAGTTCGGTGTCTGTATTAACTACAGCCGTTTCGAATTGATCCTGCTTCTGTGGAAGAGCGGCGTCTGAATCGAGCCTCTAAGTACCTTTGTTGCTAGATGTTTCCTGCTATCGTTTATATTCCCATACTGAATATTACATCGGTTGATTTGGAGCATTAAATGTTTATTCGGATTTTCGTATTGGACTCTCTATGTGAACCAGTAAACAACAATATTTTATTCCAAAAATTAAATTTTCCTGCAGCGCGCATGAAAGTGCTCGAATTGCAATGGAATCAAAAGGTGTCGCCAGGCATTTATATATATTACACACTGTAGGAAATGCATGAAGTGTTAGATCTTCGGAACCAAAGAGAAATGTTTGCAATAGAATTTAGGGTGTGCCTAGACTTTCTCAAAGTCCTTCGCCTCTCATTTCTTGTTCCGCTGTAGTTTTCCCGCTCTCTCGCTCGTTTTGCCGTAGAAAAAATAAAAAATCTACCGCTCGCACTTCGCGCTCGTGAAAAACTTTAAGCTCTACTATCTTGTAGGCAAGCCTAGGGTGTGCCTAAAGAAGGTTTGGGTAGTATGGGACAAAGTCGACTTATCCTTTTGTCAGGTGGATTTTCTAGCCTGTAAAATGGTAACGTATTCAAAATTTCAGGAGTGTCATCTTGATCTTTCATCCTTAAAACGTAATATTGCGGCTTTTCTAGGGAAACTTAAAATAGACGACTTATCGCGTCATTACTTTTTTAAAACAATGGTCTGTTGTTTCATCACATGACCAATAGTACAATGCTGCTGGGTTATTGCCACGAACGTACCGACATCAAGTTACTGCATACTTAACTAGCCCGAAGAATCCATACCATCCACTGCACTGATCTTCAAACAAAAACTTCTCACATTTGGCTCTCAAACAAA